CATAGTGCATAAGTCAATCCATGTTCCGAAGAACGACTATAAAATGTAGACTTCATTTGCATGAAGAGTGTTTTTCTTTTAGTTTTTTTTTTCTGATTTTCGCTCAAGGCAAGTGGGAAAGTCGTCAGAGTTATCCAGTGCAAAACCTGTTCAAAGCGGTTGTGTTCAACTAATAAGCCCGCGAAATCATACATCTGGAGTTGGAAACCTACAATCATCGGTGATGAAGAGCCAAGTGCGTAAAACTATTAACAGCAGTTCCTAGTGATTCTATGAAGGGAAAGCTCTAATTTTAAAGAGGGTACAAAAAGTAAAATTTCGTTGTTCCTTTGCCATGCATACATGCTGCAGGTCTGTCTTCTGGTTCACAACATTTGCTCCGGACATCGAATCTTGAGTTGATCGTTTGACCTTCTGGCACTGCCTGCATTACACGAGTTAACTCTGCTTTACACTTTCCTTCTCTGCCCGGGTGTATTCTCTATTTTGGAATCCCCCATAATACACTCTGTTTTCCTCACGAACTTTGCATAAAACATCGTTTCAGATGCTCCAGGGAGGACTGTAAATTGCAATACAATAACTTATGCAAAATTAGCGAGGCAAAAAGAGTGTATTGTGGGGCATTCCAAAATAGTCAAAACAAGGTTTCAACGACGTGGCTTTGAGGGGAATTTCTGAGGGGTAAGCCTTGCCTTCGTTGAACCATGATTTCCCCTGGTGGGACTAATAGACCTTCTTTATTGATGTACTATGTTTATGCTGTGACATTTGTGACAGTATTAGGTAGCTCATGGATAGACTTGGCCGGTGAGGTTTGGGAAAATATGGCGCTCATTTAATTATGGATACTTTTCTGAATAGATTTTATGTTGGCTAATTACAGCATCAGTGAATGACGTTATCTTATGATGTAGGAGTCTTTGATCAAGACGTTATTTACAGAGCATCAAGAGAAGGTTTCGGAGTTTTACTAAATTATTTAGTTATAGGTTAGCTCCAGGTCTTAATTAACGTTGTCTTGTAATGCAGGTCCTTGATTATCAAAAAGTTCAGTTAGGATAAAGATGGCATTTACAGAGCACGAAGAAAAAGTTTCAGAATTCTATTCCCGTGTAGTGGATAACAACCATGACTGGAATGATGGATTTCTCACATTTGGATTGTGGAAGACGAAATCCGGCGATCCTATACCACACCCTTTGTGTTATGGAGCAGTGTATGATGAGCTGTTAGAAGGTACTATGATACAGGCTGATCACAGCGTGCTGGATGTTGCTTGTGGGCAGGGAGCTGGCATGTTACGAATCAAATCCCAGAATGGCTGCAACATCCAAGGTCTGGACATCAGCGCTGCAAACGTGGAAATAGCGAAGCGAAGACTGTGCGACACTGGAATTACTGTAACGCGCGGTAGCGGAACGAAGATGCCCTATGATGAAAATTCTTTCGATTGTGTTATCTGTGTGGAAGGAGAACCACACATGAATAGCAGAGAAGATTTCTTTCGAGAAGCATTTCGAGTTCTAAAGCCTGGAGGAAAATTGTTCATGGCTGACATTGTCACTCTTAAAGCACTTCCTGATCTGAGTTACCTTCAGCAGATCATTTTGAAGACCGCAGCGAAGTTATGGGTGATTCCTATCACTAACTTGTCCTACGGAATCGATGATTACAAACAGAAATTAAAGGACATTGGGTTCAAGTTGACAAAGTTTGAATTCTTAGGCGACAGAGTATTACCAGGTTATTGTAATTTTAATCTTACGCTATCGGTTATGCGAGAACAAGCAAAAGTAAGAGGTCCGTTCGTCGGTTACGTGGGAGGTCCAATGATTGATATTATTGTTAAAATGGCTTTCTCTCACAAAATTATCGAATATGTCTTTGTTGAGGCCGAGAAAGAAGTTATCAAATAAACAGTCGCAAAACCACAAGCACACCATCCTCTGTTTGTGTTTCGGACTGGATTCACTCAGAAAATTTAAAATGAACTTTTCTGTGCTCTGATATCTTTGAGTTGAGTCGTGGGAATTAGATTTCACGTTTGAAAAATGTTCTTTCTTACGCCTCAAAATCAACAAAACGAATAAATTTCAAAATAAGTAGTAGAATACTCTCAGAAATTACAGTGACTGAGTCAGAGCGTTGTGTAGGAGCTGATTCTTGAAATCAAACCACAACAATCCAACATATTTCAATATTTTCCATGTTAATTTGTACATATTTAAAGTAAAAAATACAGGTTTGCGGGTTTGTATCTTGACATAATATGTTATAACAATATTTCACTTTACATTCTTAGTAAGACTGGACATTCCAGCTCTAGTTTATATACCTAATTATTTTATTTCTCTACAAAAACGCTTAGACAGATTTTAAAACATCTTCAACTTTTTTCAAAATTTGAAATGTTGCGCTAAGTTTTATTCGCGCGAGACGCTCTATCTAAACAAAGGTGCCCAAACATATTGTGCGAGTTATAAGATTCTGGATACTACGAATTGAACAAAGAAGTTTTGTTATTGAATAAACCGTAGCCGAAATTTGCGATTATTTTTCAATGAATTAGTGATCTTTGACTCGGAAAGTGCAAATAAAGTTTGAAAGAAAGTGTTATCGTATTATAATGTTTATGCTAACGATTTTAAAAAGTTTTGATTAGTTCGTCTTGTTCCTTTGTGGTCTGTAGTTCACTGTCACAATAGTACCCAGGATCCCAATGACGTGTTCATATCTAAATGACAACTGAAAGAGTTTCATAGTGTAATCATTTAGGTATAGTTCAGTGTAATTTTGCAAATTAATTAGTATATATCACATGTATCAGCAATAATATTACTCATCGAGTTTGTGAATGAGATAGGTCTCGTTTATTGTTTCTTGTTTCTTCTTCTTCTTTAATTTGTTCACGGCATGTATCCTCTGCTTAGTCCCTCGGAATACTTCCGTCTGCCCTTTTACAAATACACCTCGGTCTTTAACTTTGGTAGTAGTTTTTCTCTCCCTCCCCTCTTCTCCCCCCTTTTTTTTTTCGTCTGCTACTTGGGTTAAATTTCAAGGTCTCTTAAAGAAAAGCACGAAATACCTGGAACTCCATTATCAGAGTCTTGGATACGACTGAGGTTCTTATAAGGTAAATGAATTTTGATCAGTGGTGACCTTTCAAAAATAAGAAGATACATGGAACACCTAAGTGAAAATTTAAAGACACAGCACGTTGTTAAATATTGGATCAATATTGATGAGAAGGTAAATGCCTTTGTTTTTCTTCAGTAAAAGGGGTCATAGCTACATAGGCGATAATGTTACAGCCGCAAAGTTAAAAAAAGGATATATGTTATCATGACGCCATCGACTGTAGTGCCACAAAATGATTTGTTTCGAATTCCATTCCAGCTTTAACTGAGCAAACGTTGGAAATGCAGAAATTAAAATGCTTTGAAAGTGAATTGTCATCACCATTGCTGGCGTTCAGTTTCTGAGCCTATATTTTGTTTACATTAAGGGAGGTATAGATCTGATCCGAGTTGTCCCTCGTCTTCACGGTAAGTCAAAGTGCTAGATAAAAAAAAATGTTCTATTTAACGGGTTTTCTTTTTAACGTTGCTCTTAAAGAAAAAAAATTTAAGATTGAATTTAAAGATCAGAAGTAACCAAACCAGGTTGAGAAAACATGTCAATCACCTGTCCTTAATGCAGAGCACAAACATAATGAACCAACCAGAAATTGGCACCTGTCAATTTTAGTTTTTGAAAATAACAATAGAGAAAAAAACGTTGTTGAATTGGTAAATTCTAAGATGTAAGAAAGAGAGCAGAATTGTACAAAAGTTAAACTCATGACAAGTACCGACAAGGAAAGATGTTTTGCTCTGCTAGGAAAACTTACAAGCTGTAGCTTAAGTGAGGAGGAAAGGCTTGTCCGTCTTCTCCAGATTTCCTCATATAAACAAAAACTGGAAGGACTTTATCGAAAAGTACCGATTCAAAGAAAAAGTCAAGGCCCGCTCAAAATGCCGGTGAAAATGTTGATTCGAATTCTTCGAGAGCAAGAAGTTGGACGAACAAGGGAATATAATGTGAATGGGCTCATTTTTAAGGTTCACGTTTTTGAAGACACGGACCTTTGACGTCGGGAAATTTGTGTTCACAGAATCGAACAGAAATGGAAGAGGCAAAATATGAAGTACGTTATCTGGAGTGAAGCAGCTTGATCAAGATAAACAGGTTTTAATATTGATCAGACAATATTGAGAATCTATGTGCATAACATCAGCATGTTTGTCAAACTACTATAATGTTAAATGACTTCAATTCATTGAAGAACATTTCCCTCAAATGTTTTTGGCAGTTCACGAGGGCGTTTCTTCAAAAATCATTGATTAAAAAGTGGAGACGTACAAAACTATCGTGGTCTGAACTAAACTTCTTCAGCCTCCGTTGACTATCTAAAATTGCTGGCATTTTTTTCTGGTCGATAGTAAAACTTTTAACTCAAAGGTTACTTGTAAGTAAGATCAGTGAATATTTACGTAAATCGGTCTTGCTCAGTTAAAATCCAGAATGCTGCAGATTTTGCCTTGACAGAATTATTAATAAGGGAAGGGGTATGATACAAGTCAAAAATACATTTTAAAACTCGTACCAATGAAATTAATCAAATAAATAAGGAAATATCAAGGTCTTGTAATGTGTGCCAGTGTGAAATTTTTAAGAGAAATATAAAAATGCTTTAATGTTGATCGTAAGCAATAGAAATGTATGGAATGGTGAAATTTTCCAATAAAGTAGTTTAATGTATTGTTTAAAAAGATACAATATAAGGGGTGGACCATTTGATTTTTGATGGGGGGGTTGCAGGATTTTTAGACTGCTAGATTTTTTTTTTTATTGCTCCAGCCCTGCAGGATTTTTTTTTTAATCTCCCTGTCCTTGCATGATATTTTTTTTTAATGGAAATTTAAAACACAAATTTTGAAGTTTAATATTAAAAACTTGACCATCACCAGCCACTCAAAATTCACCCCTTAGGCTATTAAAAACCACCTTTACACGCAATGCATTTTTAAGTTACATCTTTCTTTCAAAGTAATAAAGAGTTTCATCTTTATTCAGTGTACAAAGAAATGCATCTCCACTAACCTGCGGCTAGTTGATTTCCCTGTCAGGCTAGTGGATGTTATATGCATCACTCTCTGTACTTGCCCAACAGATCACTTGCCCACTGAACAAGTGAACGTTTTTTTCTTTCTAATTACGTAATGCTACAGAGAAAAGCTTTCAAACTTGCGTGTAATGGTTCCAACTTGTCCAAAGGGCGAGCTGGAAATTCCATCTTATTTGAATCCTGTTTTTTGCTTTCAAAGCAAGAGAGAGGGACTTCAAAGAAGGGGGAATTGCACAGTAATCTGGCTTCTCAATATACGCATTTAGTATTTGGAGTTATCTAGAGTTTAAA